GTGGAGTGGCCCGGCGTAAAGCCGGGCCCCGCCGGGGCGGTGTGGTTTGATTCCCAATAAGGAACCCACGCCGTCATATCCGGCAGAGGAGGGCACATCCCGGAGTTTTAGTGGGTAGGGCCCCCCCATCCCGAGCAGCCACTGAGCCAGCCCTAGGGTTGGCTGAGTGGGTGGGCGGGAGGTGGGGGGAGGAGTCCCACATAACCCCGTCGCCTACCCAGCGGCGGGGTATGCGTAACGCATTTCTCCGGGTAAAAAAAAAAAAAAAAAAAAAAAAGGGTCCTGGTTGGCCGTCTATAGGTTAACTTTTATTTTATTTTTGTCAAATTCCATGTTTATGATGCCAACAAAGAATTTCATTTCATTTCTTTTCAAAGGTAGAGGTACGTATAACTGTATTAAAGACGCATCTTAAAACCCTTTAAAACAGTATTTTATCAGTGGTGAAAACATGAGAAAAAAAATATGAAATTTTATAAGAACAAACTATGCATTAGTCATTTAGCACAAAAAAAATAATCCATGTTGTAAACTTGTTACCGAAATGAAAAGACAGTGGAAATCTGAAATATATTTCACACCAGCGAACTCAGTAGGGAGGGAATCAATAGGGAGATTGGGCCATGACCCACCACGGGGGCCCAGTGCGGATTGGCGGGTGCTAACGACTGCAGATGCAGCCGGGACCAACGGCTTAACGTGCCTTGCAAAGCAAGGAGGTAAGCAAGCACTCGAGATAGTGAATTTTCCGTCACCGATCCAATGACCGACCACTGCGAAAGTTGCTTAACTTCAACGATCGCAACAGAACGCGCTAACCACTTGCGCCATCGAGTTCCTCAAAAGTGTGTTTGTTCTTTCAGAATAGCACTGGTGGTGGCATTGACGCCAGTGACCATCGGTTCTTCTCGCTAAATGTCACGGCCACAGTATCTACACTGTGATAAGACTATGGTCCAGCCCAATTCCACTTCAGTTCAGCAATCCTTGGAAGCGATGGCTGCTTCATGCGTCATGCTCGTGAACGGGTGCTGCCAGTGGAGATGAGTGTGCTTCTGCTACATTCTGTACTATTTATAGTTGTATTTAACTTTAATAGTACTTTACAATGTATGAAAACAATTTTATTGTATTGTATAGCCATAATTTTTATATAATTTACATTTGTGATGGAAAATGACTTCATGAGTTATCTCTTATTAAAGTCACTTTTCAATTTGACGACTCTGTATATAATACAGGGAGATAAAAACAGCCATTCCTGAGTTTCTTTCCAGTTCATCTCAATACAAGGTCTCCCGCCGTAGATTTGCGAACCGATGCGATGGCGTAGCTTTTCGATATTCACTAGATTGGATGAACAATAATGTTTTTTTTTTATATCGGTTTAGCAGGATATTAGCTAGCATCGCTTTCCACTGCTCGCTGTGTAACCTTGAGTCTCCTTATGAGATGTGATCCGAAATAAATTAATTCGGACTGTCACAAAAATGCAACGACCCAGATAAATAAATTTATGTACTTATTCGTTTTCATATTTTTATTTATGATACAGCTTGTTTATGATATAAATATTTAAATTAAATAATCATTTTTATTGCTCTTCTCTTTCCTCTGACATAAAAAAAAATTGTTAATTTTTCCCGGGCACTTCAACTGCTTATTCCCCGGTCTTAAAAGTAGTGAGTAAAGGAAACCCGGACGGAATACAGCACTTCTCAGAAAAATATTACTAACTTACGTCTAGTGTGGAGATTTGATAATCATTTTCTAACAAATCAAAACATAGAGGCATAATATAACTACTTATTATTCTTTGTGTAAAATTTCTTTTACATATTGTATCTAATTTTCGAGGAGGAAATCGTCGAGAGCCAAACCTCGAATTGTGCAATTTTTATATGCAATTTGGAGCGTTAAGTACTGGTATATCTATACTATCACACGGTATTAGCCAATACGCGGCAGCAAAAGCTTTTTCAAATACCTATTTCTCAAATGTCTCTCAGCACGCGTCCGCTCTTAATAGATGGATATATACTGTCGAGAACTTTTTTTATAGAATTTTCAAAAGGCAACAGTTTCGTTATACTTGATTTTTGTGTAATTTTTACTGTTTATTCAGCGCAAGCAACGGAGGCTTTGAAATGGAATATTTTTTCCCGTTTTTGCAACATTTTTCATTGGTGCTCTGCTCCGATTAGTCATAGCGTTATGTAATATTGAATAGGCTAATCTAACATACCTAAAAATATTTTATTTTTAATCGGAACTGTTATTTCTGGGATTAGCGCGTTCGTGGTTCAATAAAACAAACAAACTGTTCAGCGTTATTAACCGACTTAAAAAAGATGGAAGTTATGAATTTTTACCAAATATTAGCACGGAACTTTCGACTGGGTGAACCGAATTTGGTCCAGTTCTAACAATGGCCATCCATGAGAAAATCATATTAAGTCCTTGCATTAATTATGTGCGGGACGTATAGCTCAATATCACGCCAACCGATTCATTTTGAAGTGAAAACTTCTTTAGCACCGTTGTGATTTTAAACTCGATGAATAGAAAAGCCGCAGATTTAAAATTTCTTTATAAATTAGTGAACGGTCATTTAGACTGTCCTTTTCTGTTACCTAATATAAAATACTAGCAAACCAGTGAACCAAATGTTCACCAAAAAAAAATGTATTTAATTAATTGAGAACTTCGGAGATTTTGTGTGGTTTCGTTTGAAATTCGTGATTTCTCGAAAACCGGAAGTGCTACGTTACTCACATCCGGTTTGTAGTCTTATCAGACTATTCTTAACTTATAACTTAAACATTCTCTATATCTATCTCTTACGGTTTGGCCGCTGAAACAGCACCACGGACGGACGGACGGACTTGTCTAATAGATAAGAGATCATTTACCACATAACCTACCGCGATCATCTAATTACAAATTATTTATGCCCAAGACATTCAAATCTAGTTTAGGTCACTTTTCGTCACAGTGTCGTATGCAATCATATTACAATAAAATCTCTAAGGCCTCTAATCTTGACCTATTTAGTGACTATGGTGAATTTGTAAAAGATGTTGCTCTATCAATCAAACATAAAAAAATTTGCTCCGGCTTAGCATAATAAGCATTGAATTATTAATTTTGTAGTCTCTCCTGATTTATTGCTGCACATTTTTTCTCTCGTATTGCATATGTTTAGATGCCTGTTCAGTGTGAGTGTAACAACATGTTTGTGAATGTTACGCATAATTATTTCTTTTTATACTTTTATAATAGGGATGATGACAATTTTTTTTCTTCGTTTATCAGGTAGATTTATCAAAAAGTATTGGACACGTATTTTTTCTTTTTTCACATAATATAAACATTGCAGAGATATATTGATTTGAAAAGTCGCATGACGTCACGTTTGAGTATACTTATAAGTGAAAATTCACTCAAAAGTGACGTCACGAGCACCTACTCCCAAACTTTGACGCGCTATAACTTTGTCATTTTTTGGTTGATTGCCCAAAGAAAAAATACGTGTCCATTCTTTTTTGATCATCTAACTGACGGACTAAATAGAATTTCGTTTACTATACCCCGTCATCACCTCTATTTTGTTAAGAATGCACACTGTCATTATTGTCACAAATTCATGCCGTGGCAGAATATAATTAAGATACCACTTGAATTGTCACTTATACACTATTGTTATACTATACTATGTGTGAATATTCTTGTTGGTTGTCCTTAAATAAATAAATAAACAGTAGGTTGGTAGGTGGAGTACAAAAGGTATCCGTAATTTATATCTCTGCAAGATGTCTTTTGCCTATTTGTCGATAGGCTAACGGTAACGGCCTTAGGGTCGACACCAAATGGTCATTGTCAAATGTGTACTGATTTTTAGTTCTCGTCACGTACTTTGTGGCGGTGCTGTTCAAGTTACCATACAAAATTTGACATTGACATTTCGCACTCGCAAACTATTCGAATTCGATATTGGCTCGTGCTAAGGTTACAGCACATGTCCATTTATTTGTTTGAAAGAGTTTGTTAGCGAGATGGTCCCATTTTAATTTGATAAAGATATGATAAAAACTTTCGAAAAAAAAACGACGGTTGGCAATCCGGGAGTGACGGCAGAAGTGAAAAGTTGAATATTTACTTTGCGCATTTTTAATATTTAGGAATGGTTAGGTAATAATTTTACACGAATTGCTTTTATTATCAGTATAAAAGTAGAGCCTGTGCGGTAAGAGAATGGGACTTAGATTGTATGCTTGCGATGTAGTGCTTTTCTACCGTATTTGTAAGGTTCTACCCCTTTTAGACATGATTAAATACAAAAAACCGCAAGAAATCACAACAACAAACAAATCCGTATCAATACAAAACTTTGACGTTTTACAGATTGCTGGGTTTGATTGCCAAATAAAAATCTCAATGTTAGTTCCGTTTTTCTCCACGCCCATTCTCTTTCCGCACAGACTCTAATATCATTTATGTGGTAGATAGAATACAATATTTATTTATTGCGCTATCGTACACAAACATCACAATTTATATTACATTAAAATGTTTATCTCTCAGAAAAATCAACTTACATGAATCACATTTAAGCACACCTAGAGACATTTTTTGTAAAAAAAATACATTTTCTTCGCAATAAAGCTGCCACCTGGACGTCCTAATTAGAGACTTTTTATTATAATACGATAAAATAAAATATTACTATGTTTCGTCCAATATATTGAAAGTCAACAAATCGTTTGCAAACTATTCGAATTCGATAATGGTTCGTGCTAGGGGTAGTATCCTGATGGCTGTGTCAAATGTTCTCTAGCCTTAGGCTGCAAGGCAGCGCCATCTCTTCGCATTATAGGTAATACCTTTGCAAGCATTAAACCTTTGAAAGAATAACAATTATAGTTATATTTTTAGCCGACTAATGTGTGTGTATCTATTATAGGGTATTGTGTTTAACGGTCTATAAAGGTCTATTTCACTATAGGATTAAACTATAGACAAAATATGATAGGTATCGGTGAAACAACACGACCTAAGGACATAGACACTGTAGGTACTAATCACGCGACGATCTGTTTTGTGTAAGACGTCATCAAGTCCAATAAGGAAAACAGTATTTTAATTTTACATATAACCATTACATATGAGCAATACATATAGTTTTTAAACATTCACAGAATAAAATTATGCAGAGACGTCGCCACCAGGTATGAGGTTTTGTTTTGTGCTAAGTTGATTGTGAAGTTGGATTTTCCTGTGTACCTTCCTTATTTCTCTCGTATGGATTGAACAAAGTAATTTTAATACTATTACAAAATGTAATTCCGTCATAACATTAAATATAATTAATTATGTTTTACAGTTTATTGTTGAACTATAAGCAATAATAATAATTTATTTTGCAATAAATTACACGTACTTACACGTAATATTTTTATAGCAGACTAGGCTTCGCTATTTTATCCCCTTGGGGGTAGAATTGATCAAAATCCTTTCTTAGCGGATGCCTACGTCATAACATCTACCTGCATGCCAAATTTCAGCCCGATCCGTCCAGTGGTTGGGGCTGTGGGTTGATAGATCACTATGTCAGTCAGTCACCTTTGAGTTTTATATATATAGATGATACTTACAAGGTTAATAATATTGGAGATCGATGGTGCAGTTCTTAGTTAGAGAGTTCAGTCTACTCTAGTAGGAATTAGGATGGGTGACCGAAATTTTTTTTTTCGAACTTCTCCGTGCTTCTGAAGACACGTTAATCCATTGATACAGCTTCGAAGTCGTTCATCATCATAATCATCAGCCTATCAATGTCCCTCTGCCCAGGATTCTTAAGGATGGAACAGCAAGACTGGGCCATGACCCACAACGCGGGCTCAGTGCTAATGTCTAAAGATGCAGCCGTGTCTAACAACGGCGTGCCTTCCTTGGATTGGATGGGTGACCAAAAACTTATTATCAAAAGATAAATGAACACTACAGAATTCGCAGCGCAGTAACAAAAGACACGTGTATACCCGGTAGAATAAGTCGCGGCACGAAACTCTAGCGCTGACCGTTATCACGCAGAAGTAAAAATTAAGATGTGTTGGGGGGGAACGAGGTGCGCGGGTGGGCGTAGGGGCTTTTCACTTCGAACTACAATTATTTGTATAGACATCACAGAACGAATTTTAGATATATAATATTTCACTACTTCACACTGTGCCCACAGTATCCTTTGCCCACCCAGAATGGGTAAAGAATCTAAAAAAAAACTGTTCCGTTTACGCTTCGTGAATTTAATGTTTTCTTGTGATTTTTGGTTGTTTTTCCGACGATTTCAGCTATTTTTCCGGACTCCGATTCTCCTGCTTTTACGTTTTGACCCTTGCTCTTCATATCGGTTATTGATTGACTTCACTATTTGGATTTCGTTGTTCTCGAAAATGGCATCGCAGATGACTTGTGATTATGTCATAAATCGCTAGATGGCGCTGTATGCTCAGGTTAACTGATATCTCTTGACTAGTATATAATGTACTCTATGGGTGGGCGTGCGTTGCGCCGATTGGCTCTCCAGTCGTACTCATACGCAGCTATCCCCTCCGCGTTTTGTTTAGCGCTAGAGCTATATGCCGTGACCTGTAGAAGCGGGGACTTTTGGATTTATTCGAGCGCAGCAGAATAACATAATGAGGCAATCTTACACCTTGTGAAGTACTCCCACCATATCTGAGCCGCCGTAGCGCCGGACGTCCAGTGTAGCAAGGAAAAAAATCAACAATCGACCACTTATGTCTTTTAGTCGCTTCCAAATCGTCATAGTTTTGGATAGAAGTTACTGGAGGAATCACGTAATTATTCTGCAGACCTGAAAAGGCTGCAAAACATCAAAAGATAAATAAATTTCGTGCATTAACCCGTTGAGACTGGTTTTAATTCATGATGCTTTCCTTTTTTTTTGACTGTGTATGGTCGCAGATGACCTTAACAGCGTCACCGGGATTGGAGACAGCGAGATCTTAAGGGGACCTCAAACCGGGAATTAGCGAGTGCCTCAACTGCCAAAGTATTTAAGGAGGATGCCATCTCCCCACGAGGGGAGTTACCTCTCCCTCTCCGTTCGGTCCGGTCCGGTTCCGGTCAAGTGCATGTGAGAACTTTATTGTAGTGTTGACTACATCACAGAAGCTTATCGAAAAAGCCAACTCGATACATTTCGTACTAAACACTCCAAGAAGCATTAGTATGCGTCAAACCGACAGTCTAATGTAAAAAAAGAAAATTAATATAACTTAAGACTAGGCTGTATGGGCATTGTTCTTTTTGGCTTCTCTAAAAACGAAGAATCTTAAAAAAAGAAATCTAAAGTCAATGTCAAATTGACATTTACTTTCATCGCGATCGCTACGTACAGCGAAACGAATTATTGATTTCGCTTATTATTAATTTTTATTCTTACTCTCATTACCTTACTGAGATATAAAGTAATTATATAATGTAAGTGTATTAATAACTCCCAAGATGTCTGCTAACGAACAGCCTGATCTGTTGTTTTTCGACACATTTTCTCATGACACCAGTGAAGTAAGCATAAGTTAATTTTTGTTTTTAATCCGTTATTATGCACAAATATCACGTAGTTCTGTCTAATCATGCCTATTTATATTTGCAGGAGTTGAATTTGGATCTAGTGCAATTCCCAAAGTCAGTTTATGTGAGGGAAATACGTATAATACCTCTCGGTGCTCGCGTGGAAGGCGATTTCCCGGGTGGTGTCCGACTTGGTGCCACAAATCCCACCAAGTTCCATATAGATTTCTTCGTGAACGACTTAAGTAAGCCTGGGGCGTCAACATTCGAAGCCCTAGGCAGTTTGGACTACTGTCAGAATGGCCAGATTCACATGGAGTGTGGGACGGTCTTGGATCAGCCAAGGATACCGACTGATGGTCTTGTTTTACGCGGTTAGTGTGATAAACATTACAATGAGTAGAGTCAGTTAGATTTTAATAATCACATACTATAATATAGATTTTGTCATAGAATAATAGGAATCATCATCATCATCATCAGCCTATTAATGTCCCCACTGCTGGGGCACAGGCCTTCCCTATGAATGGAATAGGGAGATTGGGCCATGACCCACCACGCAGGCCCAGTGCGGATTGGCGGGTGCTAACGACTGCAGATGCAGCCGGGACCAACAGCTTAACGTGCCTTCCGAAGCACGGAAGAACTCGATAGATGTTTTGGTCACCCATCCAATGACCGGCCACTGCGAAAGTTGCTTAACTTCAAGCATCGCAGCCGAACGCGCTAACCACCTGCGCCATCGAGCTCCTCATAATAGGAATGTCTTATCTTAAATCTAAAATGCTGAATCGTCAGTCTGAAAATAAGTGTGTATGATTTTCTATGCTTATAAAAAGCTTTATAAAGGTAGAATAACCCATATGAGTACTGACATTGAATTTATTCATCTTCATTTATTTTCAAAAATATTTTACTTGCATTAAAAAAATCAGTAAAAGATTTATGCTGCATTAAAAAAGGAGTAATAACATTTACAATTTGCTGTAGCCTTGGCATATCTATTGTTATATTGGTAAACATTTAGAAATAAAAAAGGATATTTCCAAAACAAATGAAAATTTTATAGCTATTACTATAACATTTATTAATGCCCTTTCAATGTTAATTAATTAACAAATTGAACACCCATTATCATTAAGGTTGGCTGGTTATTGTTGAAATATATTATTTATAAAATAAGGATCTAATGTTGAAAGATATATTATTAACAATGTTCTCACTTTGACTGAACTCAATAAAATTAGAAGTGAGTTTTTAAGAATCATATAAGTCTGCCCGTTTGTTTTTTATATAAAGAAAGAATTAAGATTTTGTGGAATAAGAATAACATGGGTCAAATCTAAAGAAAACTACTAGAAAAAATTCTATGTGGACCAGGTAGCAGAGGGGACTTGAACCCGCACCCTTCACTATTCGGGCGAATGCACTGACCATTGCGCTACAGCGGTCTTGACGGCCGTGTCGTATTTTCTCTAGTGTTTTTTAAGATGCAAGGCAACGCCATCTCTTTGCATTGTAGGTAACAATTAGTATTTAATCTTATATCAAGTTAAATGCTTAAAAATATAAATACAGTCAACACAAATTTTGAGTCTAAGTTCTGTGTATCAGATTTTGATTTCTTATAACTAATTTTATATGCAACGGGAGGATTAAGAAATAAGAATAGGTCCTTCTTAATATCATATTTTTATTTCCGACACTGAAACTGTTGCTGGTAGTTAAGTACTTTGACCTTACTTGTCCTTATTCAAAGGTAATGAGGAAATTTAGTTTATCCTCATGCAGCACCCATTTATCCTGACTTCAAATGAAAAGTTTAAAGCAAGCTTTATTTCCCTAACTAAGTCTTTTATTAGGGAATAAACTATTTTTTTTTAACTCATACATTAATAATTTTTAGTAAATATAGCAAAAAGTGTAGCTTGTAATTTTTATCCATATTGGCATATACTTACACTCAGCAAGACACAAAATATTTAGTTATGTTTTTATTTATTTAAAGCATTTAACTGCTAGTAAAGTAAACTTTTCTTTAGATTTAAACATCTAGCAGTTAAATGCTTCAAAATAAATAAAAACATAACTATAATTGCTATTTCTTCTTTCAAATGTTTAATACTTGAAAAAGTATTCATTTGACATTGTGGGTTACCTACAATGCGAAGAGATGACGCTGCCTTGCAGCTTAAGGCTAGGAAAATTTCGACAAGGCCAATAGGGCCGTGGTAGCATAATGGTCAGTGCATTCGCCCAGCTTGCGAAGGGTGCGGGTTGGAGTCCCGACCGCTGCCTGGTCTGCATGGATTTTTTTTCTAGTAAACTTTTCTTTAGACAAAATATTTAGTTTTATAGAAATTGTGTATGCACACTGAGTGTCTGCTCTGCTGCTTTGTGTTCCATATTTGATATCCTTTTGAATTTCTTTCTCTTGCTAAGGCCATTTACATTTTACATAGTATTAAGCACAAAAGTATTTTTTAAATAAAAATTATGTTACTTGTTATTTTTCAATGTAAACAATCAGACATCGTATATTAAATAGCAGGCAAAAAAACATTTTGTTGTGTTGTGTAATATGGAAACATCATCCAACTGCTATTTAATTGCTGGTAACCTGTTAATGCAGATACCTTTTTGTTTTTACCCACATGACACATTTATGTAGGTTTTATTGTTTTAAAAAAAAATGTTTTTTTTTTTCAGGTTGGTATACAACCATCACATTGGCAGTTTACGGCAATCTCACACAAGTTTTGAGTGACACACCTGTTGGTGCGAATCCACCAAACATACAGAGGCCAACTATCGCCAGAGAAGTTGCCCCTGTCCCATCATCCAGTGTGGCACCGCCGGAATGGAACCCAGAGCCAACTAACCCCATACCCGCGTACACTGGCGCAGTCGCCGCCAGTAACCCTGACACCTACGGACCTAATAATTATCCCGAAAATTATGACAATCAAATGTATAGAGGCGATTACTACGCAAACGAGCCGCCAAAAGATCCGAGAACTTACCATCATATAGACGATAATGAATGGGAGAAAGATCGGCGTGGACTGAGCTGTGAAAGAGATGACAGGTTGAGGCACAGCCCTCGCTCCCTCGAGCATGACAGGGATAGAGATAGGAGAGACACCAGAAGCAGGCGTAGATCTATTGATAGGGGTCGTAGTCGAGAATCTTCTCGACACCGCGAGCGAAGCAGGGAACTTGACCGTCTGCATTCGAGATCTCGAAGTCGTGACAGGGATTATCTGATCAAGGGTGAATATCGACCACTGAGTCGATCCAGATCTCGCAGCAACGATAGAGATCGAATGAGGGCGATGTCCGGTGACCGGGACTGGGATAGAGGTTCCTATAAAAAAGACGACTATCGTCGGCATCGCGATGCGTCCTATGATCGTTCACGTGGCGGTTCGTACGATAAGGATGCCGCTTCTTACGACAGACGTTCACCATTTGACAAAAGGGCTCCATCTTATGAACGCAAAATCCCCTATGAGAAACGTGGCCCTTCGTATGAGAAACGGCTTTCTCCGTATGACAAGAGAGGATCATCGTACGAAAGGCGTGCACCTTCATATGAGAAACAAGTGCCGTATGACAGAAAAAGACATTCTCCCTACAGTCGCATGAGAGGTTCCAGTTACGGAAGTCGATCGCCTAGCAGGGACGATCCCAGAAAGAGGCCTAGAACTCCACCTAGTGAGAGTGCACGAAGACCACTGTCGCCCCGAGAGGGTGACGTGACCAGTCCGATAAATTCTGTCCGGTCCGAAGAGGGACCCGAGTATGACAGGAGTGGGAAACAAATTCCACGCGTTGATTTCTACCATCCAAGCTATCGACATAAGAACTCCATTCGTAGCCCATCACAAGAAGTAGAGGGTGCTCCTTTCGTGGAACCCCAACACTCCAGTTTGGTTACCGTTCCGATTGTCGATAATGTGACCGCGGCAAAAGCTATCGAATCCCCCGTCCGAAATCAGGAAGAGTCTATGGATGCCGAGCCATTCGAACCTATACTTTCCGATGAGGACATATGCGATGATTCTGAAGGCACACCTTACGTGGAAGTTGATTACGATGTGAATGATTACTGTGGCGTCGACGACATCATAAAATACTATAACCCATTCAAGTGCGAATGGCAGAAGTACAATTATGAAAATAAAATACATTTTCTCGCTAACATCCCTAAAGAAGGTGTCAAGGATGTGATGAGTGCAACCTTCGATGAGCTATGTGAGGCCAGTTCAGACTTGTTAAAAATCTCAGAGTTGACAAAAGCGGCGAAAAAGCGGGAACAAAAGTTCTTCTCCAATACTTTCACGGAAATCGATAATTCTTCACGCGAAGAGTGGGTACAACAGTGTGAACAGCTGTTCGTGTCCCTGATGAATCTGTGCCGAAACACCGATATTATCTTACGCATATTCCGAAAAAATAATACAGATGACGATTTTATTGACATATACAATTTGCTAGTGACTTTCTGTAGAATTGGACTGAATTACGACTTTGCATTAGTGCAACAGCAACCGACTTATAAGATAAGGCACATGAAGTGCGGTATTCGCTTAGTTGAGGCGTTGACGTTTCACAGACACAATGGACAGGTCACAAGTATGTTGTTAAGTGCCGGGATCAATGTACCTATGTTACTCTTAGAAATGTACTCTAAAGAGTACATGGCGCTGAGCATTCGCCTCATGATATTGAGAGTTTTAAATGCATCCCTGTCATCAAGGGAGTCCATGGAGCAATTTATGCAAGAATCTATATTTCCGAAATTTCACAAAAACAATCAGAGTGAAACTAAACCCAAAAATGGATACCAAGCTCTCATTGCCATTATGCAGACTAATCCTCTAGCGAGAATAAAATTTTCGATAAGTGCTCTAATTAAAAAGGTAAATATTTATGAACTGCTAGATAAGCTTCACGACCTCGTTTTCAATTTCAACAAAGCTGCAGCTGAAAATAATCAAAATGAAGACACGGAGCTAACAGAGAAACAAACTGATTTTATTATCAATGCTCTCCAGGAAATTCTGTATATGTACCGTACGCATTGCTTTCACTTGTCTCAACCTAAGCGTTTTCTTCCTGTCTCTGCTCAATTCGAAATAAATAAGGAATGTTCGAACGAAATTTTGTTAGAATTCTTTAACATACATCACATTTTGGAAGTCTGTCTCTATCTTTTGACATGTCCTACTACTTGCAACAATCTCGTAGTCATCAGTCCCATTCATGATCTCATTTATGAATTGGTAAATTCAGAGAATGGACTCAATTTTTTATACAAAAATATGGAGTTGAGTGAATTATTATTCAAAACATTAGCTCAACCATTCGGTCAATTGAACACGGATGAGTTTATTTACTCACATGATCTCAACAGTTACAGCGATCTACAAATATTGGGCCTCGAAATGGCTTACAAGTTAAAAGCGTTGTACTATTTACATTCTATTAGCGATTTACAATCAGGAAGAGTTGATGAGAACGAATTGATAGACAGATTGCAATCTTTGTACTGCTTAAGCTTTGGTAGTATCGGGAAGACTGCCGTGCCTGATGTCGTAGTCATGGGAGACAACGCAGACTGCTTGATGGAAGTCTTTGAAAACGATTTAAAAAGTAAGAGCAAATCCGACTCACCATCTAAACAGAAATCTCCCGCCAAAGGATACGCGATTGAGTTGATCGTGTCAGCCGTGAGATATGCAGCGAATGTCCCTTTCTTGAAGAAATATGGACAAAGACTCTCTAACGTATGCAATGAACATGATAGATTTGAACCCAGCGTGTCTAGTATTCTCCAAGAAGCTATTCCATACTTAAAACCAATACAGAAAACTATACTCCAGACGAGCGATGATCTGGCAGAATGTGTCGAAATCTTGAAAGGTAGTTTGGAGCACTCCGCCGACTTGCCAGGAGAACTCATGACCTGTTTGAGAATTTTAAGGCATTTCTGCATATCAGACTATGACACGAACGTTTCAATCGCTTGCGAATCGGCGACCGAAGAGTTCGTCGAATTGAAATATAAATATAATGTCCTCCAGCTGTTCTCTTTGGACGGAGTGGCACATTTAGTGGGGATTCTGGATCGACTCGCCACTCATTTCGAGCAACCGAGTATGCATACGGCGACCTTCGCTTCGACAAAAGGTGTGCAACTGGCCCAAATGTTGCTGCCTTGCTTGCGATTACTCGATGAAATGCTTGCTCGAGTGGTCCGGTGCCGCGGTCCGCGGTTCCGCGACTTGACCGCTGCCCCCATTCTCCTGAAGACGTACGGTATCGCGAAAGCATTCCCGGCAGGTTCCGTTGGATGCAGAACGGCGGCTAAAGCGGCCGAAGCTGCAGTGCGAGCGTTGCTAGCTTACGCACAACCCATTGCCGACGACGCCAAAGACGGCGACTCCATTAGACGAGGCTCGTGGACTTCACTTTGCTCCGAAGTCGTGTCGTATACCATGACGGCTCCGTACACGTTTGTGCCAGGACTGTTAGTGTTCTCGGAGTTGCTACCGCTCCCGTTGCCTATGCAAACGAAGTCTCCACCTACTGATAGAGAATTGGCGGACGCCTCCAACGAGAGGCGACTGTGGTCTGCGCATTTGCACGCCTTGTCGAACGATTTGACAGACATGATCCAGATAATTTGCACGTCGACTTACAGGCCCGTCGTCCATATGTTGCGTCGTGTCTGCGTGCAGATCGCCGATTTGGCCCCGAACACTGCCGCGACAGTCGCCAGAGCTGCTATAGGTGCAGTTTTAAAGGAACTGAAGCAAGACGAGCCGGCCACCGCTAGTTTGGCTCGGGTCCTCGGATTCTTCGCGTGTTTGGTGTCTCACGCGTCTGTGAAATGTGCAGTGTTGCATACGATGAATACTGGTGGACCTAAATCTACTGAAGTTCAATCGGCGCTTTGTTCTGTGCTCACCCTCGCCAACGGATCGAACGAGCAAGCGGCGGCTCAAGAGTTCGCAGCTCACGCTTTGGCAGCGTTTTGCGACATCGAAATAACTCTGACGCCCCTCACTTCGTCTTCGGATGTCCTCCTGGCTAACTCTTTACCGAATAAAGACGCGTTGGCTGCGTTTCTGGAAGCTTCGGCGGATTGCTTGGAGTCTCCGTCGAAGACTTGTGCGGTCGCATCTTCCATACTGAGATCGTATTTCGTGCTAACTGACCATGAGCACGGTTTCCAACAATTCAGGAAGTTTGTTACGAAAAAGCGCGAATCTCTGGGAAAGTTCTTTAAGTGGGCGCTTCAAGGGACCGGGGAGGATAGAGCCGATTGCCTAAGCATGTACATAGATCTGATCAGGATCCTGAAGGTGGAAGAAGGCGAGGGTCCCGTGGGCAGGAAGTCGTTGTTACTTGTCAGCGAGATGGCTGACATGGTGGACTATTCGTTGAACGAGGAAGACCACCCTGCACTGACGTTGGAGAAGACATTGAAGGTAAACTTGAGTAATCCATATGTTAATATCCAACGCATAATTTTGAAATTCAAGAGAACTATTAACTTTTTTTTGTAAGCGTCGCTATCCACAACCATACGATTTTGTCGAAATTTTTTACCAGGTACGACAAACTGTGGCATACATTGTCACCAGCAGTGTTTCTGGACCAAAACTACCTGAAAACCTTCAAAAAAGAGCGTACGCCTTAAAGACCGGCATTGCATTTGTGATATTCCTAGGGTTGTAGGCGCCTATGGGTAACTGTGATCACTTACCATCAGGTGAGCAGTCAGCTGGATTTCCCCCTATAATATAAAAATTACAATAATAAAGCCAATTAATAGCCCGCAAATTAAAATATTTTAAACGTATGTTAACGCCCTTAGATGGCGCAAAGTAATAGCATTTAAGTTTTAATTGAAGTCTTTGGTGTCGCTCTTTCTGTGATAGCAATATAGGTAACTAAGGTTTGCCCTGCAGTGTTACCCGGGGTTTATTAGGTATTTTTTCCCGCAGTAAAATGTAGCCTATGTTTTAATCCAGGGTGACAGCTAACTCCATACCATTTTTTTTTAAATCACTCCTGCTGTTTAGACGTAAAGACGTAACAAACACACACATTCTTTCGCCTAAATATTAGTGTCATGAGGAAAGCCGACACTTTTGTAAGTTACAATGTACTGTGAATAAAGTTAATATACTAACTGATTTAATATTAACAAAGGTACAATTACAAACTGTAACTGCATTCTACCCCCAAAGATAAAGGGTCACTTTTAAAACAGCAATATCTTCAAATTAATATTCATATTACTAAATCGTTATTTTTAATCATACCGTGGCTCATTTTATGAGTAATAAATTTTCTATTAGATACTTTTTAATACAAACATCTAGCTTATTTAGTTTCATAGTTGTTTGAAGTTAAGTAAGTGATTCTTTATTCTTGCGGGCGAGTATAGTATTCTCAGCCACAACGTGTTCTCACCTTAGATTAAAAAAAAGATAAGATACGGCACTCGCGACTCAAATGTGATCCGCTTAAATTCGAAAATTATGGTTAGCACCACAATTCGCTTTAGTCACAATTCGACATCCAAACACGATGCATGTGCACTCAATATAACAATATTTCATATATTCTGTGTTATGAAGATAAAACAATGCTTTCGAAGCTTTTATAAAGAACACAAATAGCTCATGATCAAATAACAAATGCAACGGCAACACTCTTCATTAATGTATAAAAAAAAATCTGAAAAGTCGTGGTTTACCATGAATGTTAGTTACTAATTCGCCATTTTTTATAAAGAAAAAGGTAACAATACAACTCTGCCGTACAGACGGCAGAGTTGTATTGTTACCTTTTACTCTCTCTCTCTCTCTCTCTTCTCTCTACAGAGAGAGAGAAAAGAAATCGCAGTCAGCTGCAAAGCGACACGGACTCGCCGTTTCGCTCGCGCTGCGATGAAGCGTACAGTTCTGTCTCGCTCGCTCGATTGAATGTTTATTTACAGAAGTGTGTTTATGTGAGAGATGCTTATGTAGTTGAGTCGGATCATATTTTATTTGATGTTAGTATGAGCGTACCGTATCTTCACTTTTTGTTTTAATTAGACTTGCAACGAATATTCGGTTACTATTCGGTATTCGGCCTATTCGGCTGCTTTTATTATATTCGGCCGAATACCGAATATCTACATATTATTCGGCCGAATACCGAATACTTAAATAATATATTTTGTCATAGAGAAATAATTGGTAAAATGAAAAATTTAAATCGATTGATTACGTATATATTCATATTTTCATTTCTGTTATACATATAATCATTTAAGTAGTCATTGGTACATAACACAGGTACATAATCATATTCAGAATTGGGAAAATGGAGGATTCTATGTATTTGAATTATTGTGGTAATCAAAATTTAGAAGGGTTAGGTTCTCATTTCTTTTATAATCATTTATTTAGTAGTCATTGGTACATAAAACAGGTACATAATTTTATAATTTTCCGTATTAAACAAGTTAACAGTTTTTAATTCATTCAGTCATGTGATGAATGGTTACAGAATAGCAATAATTTAAAGTTTACGCGCCGTTTTTTGGCCATATCTCAAAAGTTGGTTTTGTCATTTAGCCGCATTTTAGCTTGAGAACGGCAGATTAGAACAAAACAAAGGAGCGCGAAACAATCACGTCTGTACAAGTTTTTGGTGCTAAAATCCAGCCGAATACTTTTGCCTAATATTCGACTATTCGGTCAGGGGCCTCGCCGAATATTCGGTATACTGGCGAATATACTATTCGTTGCAAGTCTAGTTTTAATCCAAGGTTCTCACTCAATATAACCTTTCAACCTCACCTAACCAGGACAGAAGCTTCGACTTGGACGCGATAGCGAACGCAACTCTCCTCCAGACTCACTTGCAGAAGTTGAAAGCGCCCGAAGATCCTTCGACGCCGCCGCTAGATGGCGCTGACTCGTTACCGACTCCGGAAAGTTTAGTCGCGCAGTTCTCCGCTAGAATTATTTATGCCATCGGGGAAGCCAGTGATGAGAGATTAACTACCAGCTTTTGGCTAAACGTGCCTTCTGCCAGCGGAGAGGACGACGTCAACGATAGTGAATTGGTGAGTTTTATTTTTGGTACATAAAGTTCCAGGGTTCCGTGGGTGATAGTTTTTGTATCGCAAGCGTCTATAAGTGAGGAGATCGATGGCGCGGGTGGTAAGCCCGTTCGGCTGCGATCATAGAAGTTAAGCAACTTTCGCGGTGATCGGTCATTGGATGGGTGACCAAAAATTTCTGTACCTCTTGATTGTTTGAGTCTGAAACATGGAACGGCAAGCTTGTTCTTAAATCTCGTGTTAAAGTTATTTGTTTGACTTTTTTTGCAAATGCGTCATAGTTTTTTCTTACATATATTACATTTTCATAAATGTATTGCGATGCCAGTGTTAAAATATTAATTTCTTTAAAATTTTCTCTAAGAGATTCTATTGGCTTTAAGTTGTATATGGCGCGAACAGCTCTCTTTTGCAGTATGAAAATACTTTCGATATTAGCAGCTGAGCCCCACAACAAAAGGCCACATGACATAACGCAATGGAAGTAACCAAAGTAAACCATCTTGCCGTTTCCACATCAGTTAAGAGTCTTATTTTTTTAACAGCGAAAGCTGCAGAGCTCAGTCTACTTGATAAGGCATCAATATGGGGATCCCATTGCAGATGCGAGTTTAAAGTAATACCCAGAAACTTTGTAGAATTCACTAATTCTACAGGCTGGTCATTTATTTTTGTACTAGTATTAACCTGCTTCACATTAGGAAGAGTAAACTTAACACGTTTTGTTTTACTGGAGTTTAGTTTTAAATTATTTACCGTAAACCAATGAAGGACTTCAGAGAAAGCACAATTTACTTCGTCATAACAATCATTTCCTCTTCTAGCTTCAAACACTAAAGAGGTGTCATCAGCAAACAATACTTTCTCACACAAATCTCTTGTAAAGTGAGAAAGGTCATTAATGTAAATGAGGAAAAGCAATGGGCTCAATATTGAACCCTGGGGCACGCCCATAGAAGTGCTCCTGTAGACTCAGAAATCTGCAGAGCTCGGTCTACTTGATAAGGCATCCACATTAGGATCCCATTGCAGATGCGAGCCTTAAAGTAATACCCAGAAACTTTGCAGAGTCCACTAATTCTACAGTCTGGTCTGGTCTAGCTGGTAATTTTTCTAGTCCTCGACGTTGCTATTCTGGAATTGTCTATTGCTTAGGTATCCTGCGACATAATGGAGATAGCGAACGCGCACTTGTCCGTCGGAGGGGCGGGAGGGGCGGGAGGGGGCGCCGCCACCAGCGGGGCCGACGCGCTCACGGCCGCCGTCAGGAGGCTAGCGGGGTGCGTCGATGCCAGGCCCGAGCCATCGCAGGACGACAAGAGGCCGCCTGGTGAGTGTCCTACTATATACAGGGCGTCGGATGCGTGGCCCGAGCCATCGCAGGACGACAAGAGGCCGCCTGGTGAGTGTCCTACTATATACAGGGCGTCGGATGCGTGGCCCGAGCCATCGCAGGACGACAAGAGGCCGCCTGGTGAGTGTCCTACTATATACAGGGCGTCGGATGCGTGGCCCGAGCCATCGCAGGACGACAAGAGGCCGCCTGGTGAGTGTCCTAACATATTAATATTAAACTAGCAAACCAGTGAACCAAATGTTCACCAAAACCTGATTTAAAAAAAAAATGTATTTAATTAATTGAGAACTTCGGAGATTTTGTGTGGTTTCGTTTGAAATTTGTGATTTCTCGAAAACCGGAAGTGCTACGTTACTCAAATCCGGTTTGTAGTCTTATCAGACTATTCTTAACTTATAACTTAAATATTCTCTTTATCTATCTCTTACGGTTTGGCCGCTGAAACAGCACCACGGACGGACGGACGGACGGACTTGTCTAATAGATAAGAGATATTTCCAACACACACACCAATTAGCCTAGCCCCAAAGTAAGCACTGTAAGTAAGGCTTGTGTTATGGGATACTAGGGTAACGGATAGAATACATATATTAAACATTATAAGTATATTTATATAGAAATACATATTAAATATCCATGACTACAGTACAATTGCTCGTATTCATCATACAAACATCTGCCCCCACCGGGATTCGAACCCGGGACCTCTCGAGTCGGCGACACCATGAAATCCAGCGTATAAACAACTCGGCCACGGAGATCGTCAATAAACCGTCTTCTTTCAAATATTTAATACTTGTAAAGGTATTTAAAATTGTGAGTTACCTACAATGCGAAGAGATGGTGCTGCCTTACAGTCTTAGAAAAATTAGAGAAAATTCGACACGGACAATTAAAACCGTGGTATATAATGATCAGTCCATCTTCCCGGACAGCGGAGGGTGTTGGTTCGAGTCCTGTCTGCTGGCTCATCCGCGTGAAATTTTTTTTAGTATCTTTTTTAAGATTTAATAAACATGTAGCAGTAAAATGATTTATAAGCAGGCGCGGACTCGTTCCGTTCTCGTCCCCCCAACACGTGGCGCCCCCCTCGCTGCACATAATATGAGTGTCACGTCATGTCCCGTAGTGGCCCTGAGCCTGGTGCGCGAGGCAGGCGCGGACTCGTTCCGTTCTCGTCCCCCCAACACGTGGCGCCCCCCTCGCTGCACATAATATGAGTGTCACGTCATGTCCCGTAGTGGCCCTGAGCCTGGTGCGCGAGGCAGGCGCGGACTCGTTCCGTTCTCGTCCCCCCAACACGTGGCGCCCCCCTCGCTGCACATAATATGAGTGTCACGTCATGTCCCGTAGTGGCCCTGAGCCTGGTGCGCGAGGCAGGCGCGGACTCGTTCCGTTCTCGTCCCCCCAACACGTGGCGCCCCCCTCGCTGCACATAATATGAGTGTCACGTCATGTCCCGTAGTGGCCCTGAGCCTGGTGCGCGAGGCAGGCGCGGACTCGTTCCGTTCTCGTCCCCCCAACACGTGGCGCCCCCCTCGCTGCACATAATATGAGTGTCACGTCATGTCCCGTAGTGGCCCTGAGCCTGGTGCGCGAGGCAGGCGCGGACTCGTTCCGTTCTCGTCCCCCCAACACGTGGCGCCCCCCTCGCTGCACATAATATGAGTGTCACGTCATGTCCCGTAGTGGCCCTGAGCCTGGTGCGCGAGGCAGGCGCGGACTCGTTCCGTTCTCGTCCCCCCAACACGTGGCGCCCCCCTCGCTGCACATAATATGAGTGTCACGTCATGTCCCGTAGTGGCCCTGAGCCTGGTGCGCGAGGCAGGCGCGGACTCGTTCCGTTCTCGTCCCCCCAACACGTCGCGGCCGCCCTCGCTGCACGTCGACGACTTCACCGCCCTGCACACGCCCTACGCTGCGCCCAACCCCCCGCCTAGGTGAGTTATTCATTTATTTAGAATAATAAAAAATTAAAGAATATTTTATTGATTTTAATAAGAAAAGAAATAAAGATTTTTATAAATAATAAAAAAGAAACTTCGAATTTTAACTCATTTATTCGGTCTAGGCTGTTAGAAGCTCTTTTGAAAGTCAAACGCTACGCCATCGGTTCGTAAACTACGGCGAAAGACCTGGTAGTGAGAAGAACCGGCAAGAAACTCAGCAAGGGCTATGTTTTCTCATCAAAAACTGAAAACATGTGTTCTAACAACCCATACCTTGTAACAGTTTTTGCTACCACCAGCTAAATCAGGGCTTTGCATGAGACTCAAAAATGTATTATTTACCCAGGGCGCCTTATACTGTAATTTGTGGGAGTGAAATAAAATAGTTTACCGCAGTGAACAAGATCCTTTTTATTATTATCAATATCAAATGACTAACATTCAGTGACGAACATACAATGCATATCCGATATCTTTAAGTATATCCTTTTTAGTTTAAGTATTAAAATTAACATACAGTCAATATTAGCTATCTTTAAATTTTTTTGTACATTCAGATATATTTATATTCTAGAAGACAACTTGTTTAAGCAATTATTAACCAATACTAAGAGAAATTATAGGTTTTCCTTTAATGAAACCACTGTATACAAATACAAATTATTTCTTAAGTTTAAGAATCAAGAATCCTGTACTTCAGGGGATGCACTGGTTAAATATTCAGAAAATATATAAATAACTTAGCTCAAAGACTCCCGGAAAATCTAGTGACTTTCATGTGTTGATATTTATACAAAGAAAATGCTGTCATCAATCACACTCGGATAGGTAGCAGAATATAGATCACTGGTTCATATTATTAAATTTATTCCTTTCAATATTTCCAGGGAAATTCCAACCAGTACAAATCAATGAGTTTCTGTCTAGGTATTATACTAGCTTCCTCAAAGGACCTAGAAATAATCACACACACTTCCTATAATACAATAGGCTAGTTGACTCATGTCGAATTGTATTAAATAAATGTTTATTTCTTAAAGTATTTGATCTAAGGAACCTAAATATATCGATTTCACTTCATAAAACCAGAAGATTACTGTAGAAATTTAATTTAAAAAAATATTTTTTAGTCTATATTTTCTAAACACTAAAAACGCTATCCGCCACATCCGCCATGATTGTGACGTCTCATATGGTAAACAACTAAATGTCATTCGCGTGTTATTGTGGGTGGATTCTTTCGTCTGACTAAATTTATCTTAAAACACTTTTAACTTTAAAAAAGTTTCCGTTTACTGTTTTTTTTTGAAAAAACTAATTATGGATGCCGGCTTTGTGAAAACAGAAAGCACAAATCTGCCAAGAATTGACGCGGAGAAACGACAAGGCATCTATGTAAGTACAGTGTATTTAGTATTACATGTAGTAATAAACATAAAACTGATACAAAATATGAATAAGTGTAATAAAGTTGCGTAGGTTAATTTCTTTCGGCACTTTTAATCCACAACTTTCCTGGAGTCTTCAAGGATGTGTTTTTATATTCTCGTACAATACAATAATGATAATTATTTTATTTTTCAGGGTATTTATTAGAAATCATCTTTTGATTATTATAAAGTCAGTTAAGTTATTTTCTACGTGCTTACGAGTTTTTGTTTATTTACCTTTATGTTATGTGTTTACTGCAGTTAACGTCATAGCATAGATAATCTATAGACTAAAATGGCCGACAGCGTTAAAACGCTGTCGGCTGTACTAAAAGTATGTCCACGAAAAATCTACTTTAAAATTAAAGATTTGTAGCTTTTTAGGTCTCAAAAAAATACAATACTTTTTTTTCGGTCTAATAGAACATTTATTAACCATTTAAAACCTTTTTCCAAAAAGGGTCAACTAGCCTATTAAATGCCTACATTGCCCTACGACCTATTGAATTAAATATATGGAACTTACCCGTTAATTCGGGGAGAAATATTAATTAACAATATTCGTCTTGTAAGATTGAACGCAGAACCAATACTTTGCTATTCAAGGATCAATTGTGTTAAGAGATGGAAGACAACTGCGCGAGGCTATTTATAATGAGGACCGCCGAGAACGTTCTAACCGGAGGATCACTCTTATTACCTTATAAGGAGCGATTTCTATAGCAGAAGTGGTTAGATAAACCACGCCTATTGCAATTACTTCCAGAAAATATTTATAATGACGACCCTTCCATTTTTTTTTTATTCGCACATCACACACCAACTCCATCTATCATACAAACTGGGAACAACTCTCAGATTCTATTGACAAATCCATACCTTGCTTTATTTTGAATACTAATGCAGTCGGTGGTTGATGTGAGTGACGATAGATGGCGCTTTTAAAAAAATGAACATTAATTATTAAATTATTTAGATAAAAAATTGATGCTACAACCTATTATCCTAGCCCCAAAGTTAATACTGTAAAACTAAGGGCCGTATTACAGAATGACAACTAAGAATGACAACCTTGAGTACAGTTAGAAAGGGATGTCGCTATGTGCTATATATAGCGACATCCCTCTCTAACTATGCTCAAGACTAGATCAATCACTGAGAGTCTTTCTATAATACGGGCCTAAGTGTTGTGGAATACTAGGGTAACTGTAGAATACATGTATAATGGATACATAATTGTATTATATATTTCTCTCTATGGTTTTCTGTGCTCTTAGCACAAACCGACATCGAATTTAAATAATTGAATTGCTTCCATATAAAACTTCTAGACATTTAAGACGTATCCCTGGATATGTGGGCCCTGGCCCGATCTAGAAATTTAACCGCTCCGGGCAAATTGTTTTTAATAATAATAATAATTCATTTATTTCAATCATAAAGATCATAGCATGACAATGACAAAATAATAATTAATAGTAGTAATTATGATACATAAAAACAAATTAAATTACATCTCCACATACAATTACATTTAAAACAAAAATTAAATTAAATTCAATCGGTTTCACACCTATTAACAGTTTCAGAATTTCAAAAAATAAAATGTCTAAATTTAAAATGGTAAAATAAAAAATTAAATGACAAAATTTAAAATGGTAAAATAAAAATAAAATGTCAATATTTAAAATGGTAAAATAAAAATTAAATGTCAAAATTAAAATCTCATGATTAAAATGTTATAATTAAAAGTTTTTGCCGCCCTTTAGTGACGTACTTTATGGCTGACCTTGAGTAAATTTTGCTGCCCCTAATTTTTGCCGTTCTGGCAAATGCCCGGCTCGCTCCAAAACAAAATATAGTCATAAATTACAATAAAAAAAAAATTGCAAATTATTCGAATGTTTGATACTTGAAAATTATATATTGTAGTTATATACAATTAGAAAGGCTTGAGCTACCTTGCAACCTGCAATACAATGTTTGATACTTGAAAATTATATATTGTAGTTATATACAATTAGAAAGGATTGAGCTACCTTGCAACCTGCAATACAATGTTTGATACTTGAAAATTAAACATTGTAGTTATATACAATTAGAAAGGATTGAGCTACCTTGCAACCTGCAATACAATGTTTGATACTTGAAAATTATATATTGTAGTTATATACAATTAGAAAGGCTTGAGCTACCTTGCAACCTGCAATACAATGTTTGATACTTGAAAATTATATATTGTAGTTATAAACAATTAGAAAGGCTTGAGCTACCTTGCAACCTGCAATACAATGTTTGATACTTGAAAATTATATGTTGTAGTAATATACAATTAGATAGTCTTGAGCTACCTTGCAACCTGCAATACAATGTTTGATACTTGAAAGTTATATGTTGTAGTTATATACAATTAGAAAGGCTTGAGCTACCTATCAACCTGCAATATAATGTTTGATACTTGAAAATTATATATTGTAGTTATATACAATAAGAAAGGTTTGAGCTACCTTGCAACCTGCAATACATTGTGGTGTACGGAAACGCGTAAGTGGAGAAAACTGCGTCACACAAGGCAGACATTGGCCACACTAACGACAGCAATATAATCCAACCAATGACAAAAAAGCTTGGTTTTAGTAAATACTAGTTAATTTTCGTGGATAGAAGAAAATCAGTACCGTTTAATTTTTGGAGGTAAAAAAGATGATGTTGTGTTGACTTGTCTTTTTACTCCAAAATATTAATTTCTATAGTTATGTATGCGTATTATCTTTTCTTATCGGATCCTGGATACAAGATAAACTTAGTTTGGGGCTAGAATCTAAATATTTTGTGGTTAAAGTGTCCAATTTATTTGTGTATTCAGAGGGAGGCGCGCAGGCGCAGATCGCGGCAGATTCGCGTCGGCCGCGCCCATGCATGCACACTATCGCCATCTGTGAGTATCTATCTAGTACTAAAAATGTAATGGCTTAAAAATATCATAATATATCGAAGTAGAAAATATGAACGGGTGTAAAGCACGATTTAGTTTTTCCATGGCTTTTAAAATGTTAAGCAAAATATCAAAAAAAAATAAGGTTTTACTATTTAACCCATTTTTAAGGTTTTTGCTTAATAAATCTGCTAATTGACCAAGTACAGGCAGTCCTCGTACTTACGGCATGTTAGGTTCTCGAAATACGCGACGTAAATCGAAACGACATAAGTGAGACATCCCCACAGACGCCGCCCACATGGACATTGACCTTGCGACAAGTAAATCGAATCCTCCCCCTATGCCGCAAATCGAAACAAACGACGTATGCTTGAGGAATAGTGTCAAAACATTGTTTGACGTAACAAGAAAAGACGTAAATCGAAACGACGTATGTCGAGGACTGCCTGTATATACAATATAATGGAGGTTTTTATTTACAGTATTACAATATATAGAAAATAAAATAATAACAACTTAAAAAGTACCTAATGTATAGAATTTAAATACAAATTACTCTAGAAGACGAGCACGCTCAGTGGCGTTTTCAGAAAAAACTAAAAGAAAACACAAACAGAGCGGCTCATCCCACTGTCTCTGAGAATAAATATAAATATATATTTTAATATTAATTGGGCTTTCAAAACTGGGTACAATCAATAAATAACGCATCGCTTTGACAATTTCAACAAACTTGACACCAGATTTAAGGGAAATAATGCTTTAATAATTCAATACTCTTTAAAACGTGACCTTCGCCGAGCATACTCATCAAATTATGTCTGTAGTTTTTTATAAAATATAAGAGCACTATTTATTTCTTTTGGGCAATATTTGTCAGTGTTTAAGATCAATTTTTGGATTCCTTGTAATACCCTTGGACACCGTGAAATTTCACTTCAGAATTTTAGCTATAAATAATTTCCGTTGATGCAGTCGCGGGCGCGGTGCGTGGGAGATGGGTGTGCAACACTTCGGACATTTCCCGCCCGCCTCCCAGTATATGATGGGTGAGTGCTTATACAGGACAGTGTTAATTTTAAAACACCAACAACCTTTTAGGGGGTGATTCTACCATCAACAGGAGCAACGTTTATAAAGGGACCAACGCTAAAATCACGAAAAGAAAGTCTCTAGCTAATCGCCGGAAATGTATGAAATAGCAGATTTTTTATCGCGATTTCAGCGTTGGTCCTATAATAAAAGTTGATGGGTAGAATCACCCCCTAAGAGGTTGTTGGTGTTTTAAAATTAACCCTGTATTAATAAGTATTATAATTATGTTTTTATTTTTTTAAGCATTTAAGATGTTTAAATCTAAAGAAAAGTTTTACTAGAAAAAAAAAATCAAATTTCTTCTTTCAAATGTTTAATACTTGAAAAAGTATTCATTTGACATTGTGGGGTACCTACAATGCAAAGAGATGGCGCTGTCTTGCAGCTTAAGGCTAGGAAAATTTCGACGCGGCCATCAGGGCCGTGATAGCATAATTGGTCAGAGCATTCGCCCGGATTGCGAAGGGTGCGGGTTCGAGTCCCGTCCGCTGCCTGGTCCGCGTGGATTTTTTTCTAGTAAAACTTTTCTTAAGTAGTATATTGTTACGACAACGCCATCTAGCCACTAGGTGAATCTAGATTGCTTGCTAACTTCGACTACTACCTAATGTGTTAAGGTTTCGACACTTGAAACTAGATGGCGTTGCCGGCAATATATCATGTTTGTATTGAGAAAATATTGGGTTTTAAAGACACTTTTATTGGCTTTCGAGCAGTAAACATCACACATAAGCGGAAACTGTCTTTCATTCGGGCCTCACACTGGAAGGTGTAACCATTAATGCATTTTAAAATTACACAAGTAGTCCCCGCCCTAAGTTCCTTTGGCAACAGCCGCCTATAGAGTGCACTAAAGTAGTCTCTTTCGCTCTCATTCATAAAGCAGATTACATTTCGCTCTTTAGCCTCCACGTGTCAACGGTGACAGCAACTGTCAAAATAAGTAATCACTAAATATTTGTACATTAATTTCTTTAAAACTGTACTTTCGAATGTAATGACACGGTTTTCGTGTCTCTTATAGTTTCCGTGTATTTTGTGTACTATCATAATACACACAGTGTACAAGTAAAATGCAAGTTGATTTAATAATTTTATTTTTCTAAGGACTGCATATGCAGTTGCAACGAGACAGGACGGAAGAGAGTGATGTTGCCATCACTAAAATATTATTATGCATGGACCTGTGTGGCCATATAAAATAATTAATTAAATATTACTTTTAAATTTATGTTGGACATTAATCAAACACACAGGGCTTTTTGTCTAGAAAAGCGTCGGGCAACTACCTTACTTTCGTATAGCCAAATTAGGAGGTGTATGACGTATCTATAACTTAAAAACCATCATAGAGTGGGCCCGATTCTGGAATTATTCTTTAGACCTAAGCTTTGGCTTACTGTCAACGATATTAAATACCCTAGATACACTAACACGAACAAAATCGTGCCCGAAACCTGTCCACAAGGTACATTGGACGATCCACGACGCTCCGTAAGATGATCGCGTAGTCAAAAACAATATGAGGCATTATTTAAACATTGAAAGTCACCTTTAATGCATACTAAATAAGGTGCATATTTAATGAAAACGCTTGCGTCAGAGTTATGACGCTTCAAAACTATAAGTACTTTACTTATATATATGTATTTTTAAAGCATGTAACTGCTCTCGTAACCCCGTCTCGTCTCGAGTCCCGTCTGCTGCCTGGTCTGCGTGGAATTTTTTCTAGTTATATTTTCTTTAGATTTAAACATCAAGCAGTTACATGCTTTGAAAAAATAAAAAATTATAACTATAATTGCTATTTCTTCTCTCAAATGTTTAATACTTGTAAAAAGTATTCATTTGACATTGTGGGTTACCTATAATGCGAAGAGATGGCGCTGCTTTGCAGCTTAAGAATGGCTAGAGGAATTTCGACGCAGTCCGTGAGGGCCGCGGTAGCATAATTGGCCAGTGCATTCACCAAGATTGCGAAGGGTGCGGGTTCGAGTCCCGTCTTCTGCCTGGTCCGCGTGGAATTTTTTCTAGTTATATTTTCTATAAGTACTCTTTTCGCATTTTTCACGGAACTCTGCGGCAACTTGAGTTTTCAACGGTCCGCGCGTGACTGTGAACCAAGAAGTGCTTGAGTGGTGTTCAAGCACTTCTTGATTGGGACAACTTTTGAGCGAACGTGGTGTCTAGGGTATTTAGGCCCGTATTACAGAATGACAACTAAGTGTTGATCTTTACTTGAGTACAGTTAGAAAGGGATGTCGCTAAGTGCTATATATAGCGGCATCCCTTTCTAACTGCTCAAGACTAGATTAATTACTGAGAATCTTTCTATAATACCGGCCTTAGTATCATTGCTTACTGTATGTTGAATATAACGCACACTTAAAGGTATACTCAACGATTAGTACTTAGTTCAACGTTGAATAACGTACAATATTAGGTATTGTACATTTTTTTCTTTACGTATGTATGTTGGTATGTTTCTAATTTTAAAGTAAAGTGTTAATGACAACGATATTTATGAACCTATGTGAATAGAATAATATAGATGGCTTTAGGACAACTTTTCGTCTGTATGTCGTTAGTACTAATAAGTCGGTATTCCTTTAAGCGTGCGATAAGGAGAAACTCTTTCAGATTTCCTTATCAGTTTGGTGAATCAGGCTCTGAAATAGATATTTTACTTGCAGGCGGCGCCGGGTGGGGCGGAGGCCGGCTGCAGCGCGGGCCGCGGCGATCCTTCATGCGATGAAAGCGTTCAAAACAACACTTTATTCCCTTTGATATAAGAGATACAATAAAAATGACATATTTATATACATGGGTTTTCATTTCCTCGTCGCCGACACCGATGAAACGCACCCACACATACATAACGAAAGTGACATGAGTAGAGAAAAATGGTTATATTTTATTCTCCATAGGGCTTTTTAAGGTTTTCATCAAAATCTGAAATTACAATTCATAATTCTTCTAGTCCTCTTCTATCTTGATGGAGATACAGGATCTCTTTTACGAGTATAGCGCTGTTGTTCATGCTGGATGCAGCAAAATGGAGAGTGCTTGAAGGACTTTGTCTACATCCATGCTTAAAAACCTTTATTTTTTCTTTGCCTCCGTGGCCGAGTGGTTTGTACGCCGGGTTTCAAGGTATCGCCTACTCGAGAGGTCCCGGATTCGAATCCCGGTGGGGGCAGATGTTTGTGTGATGAATACGAACATTTGTACTCCAGTCATGGATGTTTAATATGTATTTCTAAATAAATATATATGTACAGTACATGTATTCTATCCGTTACCCTAGTATCCCATAACACAAGCCTTACAGTGCTTACTTTGGGGCTAGGCTAATTGGTGTGAGTGTTGGAAATATACTTATTATTATTAAAGATTCTGAAACAGTTAAACGGGCTACTGACATCCATGCCGCAGGGGCAATCTAGGGTGTAAGAGTGGGGATGATGATGACCCTTAATTGTGATGTGTGTAGGAAAGCAGGGGCAATTTTCTTAATTGACAGGGCGGCAGGATTTAAAATAATGATGAAGATCTCACGCCTCAAGTGAGACTTTATTTACCGAGACGGGTTTTACGCGCTGACCCGTTATCTCTAGAATTGTTCATCGAAGTCAGACTGCCATAATTTTCACTGCTCCTATGTGTGGTATTACGAATTTCAAAAAAATAACATTGTCGTTAACACGCGCTTCAATATCACAGCGCCGAAACTTTTCTTGAATTTTAAGTTCTTAGAAAGGCCAATATTTTATACAGGATTCATATCATGGGTGAAGGTAGTCTTGTATGCAATTGTTATAATTAGGTATTTTAATTCCTATACCGCATATCTTACAGTTTCGCTTCGTGTGATAAACTTACAACAGTTGCTTATATAACTATTATGATATCATGAAATATTAATAAACATTTCATCATATATTTTTTGTCTGTTTGGTCATAGATTGTCACCTATCAATAGGTCAATATGATATCTACAGAGGAATGCCAATTGTTAGCATCTGTGTTTAGAATGAATATTGGCAGGGGTTTTTACTATTTTTACAATAAAAATATTCATAATTTTACCAAAAACCCACGTAAAAGATAACAGTTTTCTTATCTATTGTCACGTGACCCAAAACGCTTAGGATTGGCGGAGCACACGTCACACCACACGCAAGTAAACTTCCGGTTAAAGTGACATTACATTGTATCGTTTGACGTTCTAATTACAGTCGTGTGACGTCACACACTAGTGAGACGCCATATTGTCCAGAAAAACGTTTTCGCGGCAACTTGAAAATGGAGTTTTTGATTTGGTTATTTTTACTGAAATACACAAAATAATGATTTATATCCACGGAATTTTTACGGACTCCATAAACGTTCGTCAATAATGTGAGATCGTTTTCTAAAACTTGTCAAATACCCTATTGTTGATATTACGATACCCAGAGAAAATCTTATCCTATCATAATTCGAAAGCGTAAAATTTTAATTACCGATTGAATGAAACAGTTAAAATAAAACTACTTACACATTTTATCAATGTTAAAATAATTTATTGCTATAATATTATAAATAAAATGAAACAATCTTAGAAAATTTAGAAACAAATCAACTTTATTATCAAGATGAAAAAGATCAAATCATATAATATATAATACCTATTTATAAGCTTACGAAACAGATATGTAACGCGAGGCAGATCACAGTGACTAAAAAAACCCTCGCTCGCAATTAACTGCAAAACCTACACACCACACGATGTAGGTGTAAGTGACTCCATAACATACATATCGAAAATAAAGATTCAAATTAACAAATTTTCAATATTGCGTTCGAACTAAAATAGTAATGATGTAAAATTTACAATCCGTAGTACATAATACTCCACCGAGAATTTCCCATAGCGATTTTACTATAATTGTCTTTGTATTTTTTTTTGTAATCATTTTTGTTTAATCATTAAATGGTAAAACATTTCACTAGCATAAGTTTATATTTACAAGCCCGTGGGGCGACAGTCTGTTCATTGTATAAAAGTATCACTCGCGACATGGCACGTGGCGGCCTCGCTGGCCTCGTCGGCCCCGGCCCCGGCCCCGCTGGCCCCGTAGCTCCCGCGGGTCCCGCTAGCCTCGTGGGTCCCGGGGTCCCGCTAGCCCCGTGGGTCCCGGGGTCCCCGCCGGTCCCGCCGGCTGGGGGCGCACTAGTCGCCGGGGTGCTCGGGGCACGATCTGTTCACCTCAAACCATTGGTCTATACATCTGCAAAGAGAATGGAGAAAATTTAGTGCGTTGCAAAAAAAAACTATACCGCAGGGCAAGGCTAATGAATTTCGCGACGCTCATGCCACGACCGTGTCATTAATACTAAACTCCGCTAAATTAAGAGATAGGGAAGTGTTGAAATATAATATTTAATTAGGTTTTGTTTCGCCTGTAAATTATCTAAAAATGGGAATATGCATTTTGTTTGCTGAAACGACAATAAAGACTACAGGGCAACGCCATTAAATTATTTGCTGACTGAGATTTATTCCAGGAAATTTTATCTCGCCCCGTGTCCGTAAGAGACATTTTATTGGGTTTTTAAACTTTTGGCTGTAATTTTATCATTTTGAGAGAGAAACACGTACATTCTTGTCTCTACTTGTTTATTTATCTTTTACTCGATGTAACTGAAACAGTTTTACTAATATGAGTTAAATACGGTAATTACCGACTTATGAAAATATCGTATCACTCGAGCCATAATAACACTATACGCCTACTACGACGAGACTAGGCTATTAGCCAAATTAGAATTTGCATTTATACTATTTCATCAGATAATCATTTTTATGGAACCTTATTGTGAAAATATAATTAAAATCGGTCTTAAAATGCAGTCTTCAATATTTTAGTTACAACTTTATCAAGAAGAAGCAACAGTTTAGAATCTTTCGAGCACACTGCCTTCCTTTTTTTAATTGTTTCACGTCATGTAGAAATATTTCTAACCAATTTGATTAACAGTTCAATAAAATCTTTTTTTTTTCATATTTTCTGCCTCTCAAATACCATCAAACAAATTGAGTCAATTAACCTGTTCTTTTCCAATCAATCCAGATGAATGTTGCAAACAAAGTTCTGAATAGATTTTCAGATTTAACGAACTACCCCTCTCGTAAGTGCCTATGTAAGCTGGCTCGAATAGCTCGCGCGAATTGCGATATGCATCATATGACCTAGATTTGGGTCCTCGATGGTCTAGATAGGGCCGAGGCGAGGGTCTTATCGGCGGCATTGTTTAGCCCTGTTCATAGATAGGGCTCTAGGCGTGTTCAACATACATGTTCCCGTAAATTAGCCAGGATAAAGCTGACCCTATTTTTCCGTTGTCAACGTAACCGGGATAACCGTTTGATTAATGTACTTTAAACAATAGAGGTTTTAGTGAAGTTACCTATATTATGGTTCACATCGGCAGCTCAATTTAAGGCATCCCAAACTGGTCCCAAATTCAATTTCACCCAAACTTTCAACGTACAATAATTGTCTCGGCTAATTGAAGTTTTCGCTTCAATATAGGTAATTTAACCTAAAATTTGAAAGCCCACATTTCGGTACACTTGCTTAATTAAACATTTTGTTAGTACTTAGTAATTATGTACGTTGGTTACTTTATAATTACATGACCAAAATTTTATTTCGAGGCTTCTTGAACTGGTGGTGGGAAGACATTATATGATAGGCTATTCAAAAGAGTTGTTATATACTTTTCATACGGAAAATATTAAAATGCTCCTCAAAAGATAGTAAGTGATCACCTAAAAATAAAATTGGTAACCTACAATTAATAAACAAGGCATAAGCTTAGACTAGAAACGCCGTGTATTGTTCATGTCACTCAAATGTCATTTGTCATTCAATGAACAAAGACAAAACTGGAGTAACTAATCCAAGCGTAATCTACGTTTATTAATAAGGTGTTTGTGTCCTCGGTTGTTCGGGGGACGCGGAATTTTTAACCAGTATCCATGTGTATTACTCGATGCAGTTATAAGCAATTTGTTGTGACGGACGAAAGTCCCTCGTCAGCGCATACCATTAAGAGGCCTTTCACATTTTTTGCAAAAAAATGTAATTTTTGAGCGCCTCGTAGCGCCCCCTTAGAAAAGATTTTGACTATTTCCAATAGAAGGAAACAGTAGTTTTATTCTTCCTATTGTAAGTTAATGTAGAATATTTGCAAATACTATTTTCCTTTTTTTGGACTGATCGTTTAACTGCAGCTAGTTTACGGAAAAAACGATAATATGCACAAATTCAAACGCCTCAATCTCTCAGTAATGTTCAATAAATTAGATCAAATCAATTACTACGACATAAGAAATTTAGAAAAAAAATATCTAACCTCCGTGAGTTTTCCCAAAAAATAATGCAGGTTTACCTCGTATTTTGATATTAAATTTAATAGAATTACTATCAAAAACTTTCATAAAACTAATCTACCATCATTGAACTATTGAAATATGTAGATATTTTTATAATTAGTTCATTAATATTTTTTTAATAAGACTCAAAACATCACCCGCAAAATGCAAATATAATAGTGCAAATCTACCGACGCGCCGAACAGTACAGCAGCGGCGCAATTTTGTAAAAGGGCTCTTAGGCGCTTTGCAGACGACGGGGCGGGGCGGGCTTTTTGTCCGCGAAGCAATAAAGACCGCGTCTGCCCGTCGATGTCTGCGGCTGCCCGCGCCGCGTACACAAAGCACACGACGGGCAGAGACAGTCAGTTCAGGACGTTCGTTCTAGTGAATAGTCCATCACTAAAAAGGGCGTGGCGCGGAGTGAGCTAGCCGCCCCGCGCCGCCGTCTGCGTTACTGCATATAAACTGGTTTGTATGATCCACGGCGGGCAGCCGCGGACATGCCGCGCCGCCAGTGCCCGCCGGGCACCCAAGGCGCTGTCTTTTTGCCCTCTGTGTGCGTTTGAAGTATAGGATTCACTTTGTGCTATTATTCGCGGCGAAATTGACCGGCCCGCCCCGCCCCGTCGTCTGCAAAGCGCCTTAAAGTGGGTGTGGTATGTCGTGTCGCTCACCCCTTGTGGTAGATGCAGAGGCAGGGCAGGCGCGCGATGG